AAGGAATTTGATGCCACTAGGATCTGAGTGCTATGTACCTTTTTCTTCGGGAAGAAGCCTGTGAGATTCTGAATCTACACAAACTCTTGAGGCCTAGGGCCTTCCAGTAGATGAGCTGGAATTGGGCAGTGTGAGCATTTGCAAGTGACTTCTCTTCTTCACAGGTTTCTCCTCTATTCCATTCCTAGGAGGACTGTGTCTGCATTGCCAGTGAGGAATAATATGCCTTTTAGACTGAGTGTGGGATTGCCAGGATGGCTTGGTCAGTTCTTGGATTTGGTTTATAAGTGGTAGCTTTTTTGGGTCAGTTTTCTTTCAAAGGGCAGATAGAACAAGAGAATTCCACCTGCATATGGTATGCAGACCTGTGTGTACCCTAGACAAAGGTTCACCCCTTAATCTTTGAGCTCCAGCAAATGAGTCACTGCCAAGGGCAGGGTGACACCCATCCATTCTCTGCAGCCCTTCCTCTCATGTGTTGTAGTAGTGTTTCTCAAAATTGAGAATCCATGGACTCCAAAGTTATTCTCATAGACCCCTCAGGGAGGTCAGACCTAGACTGAAAAACACAGTAAGTTAAAGTCTGTTCTTTCACACGAGGTACTCAATTATCACAAATGACACTATAGCACAAAGAGAAACTCAGTCGCTGAAAACAGATGGCATCACTTGGCTCTAAGGTCATTTCCACATGATTCAGATGTACTTACTTGATTTACCCCAAAATGAAATAAAAAATGAAAAACTACTTTGGAACTCATGGACTCCACCTCCACTCCTCTGCCTGCCTCAGTAATTCTGCAGGATTTGTAGATGCTGTTTTGAGGAACAGTGCTGTAGAAGTCTTTCCCCCTAACAAGCTAGACCTTTATTTAAGGAGACAGCATAAGGCTGGGCCCAGAGGGCCCACCAGATGAGACTAAATGAGGGAAATCTATCTGGCCACACAACTCTAAGTTGGGAAGGCCTCTCCTCAGTGGCATCTGGCTACACTGGGGTTTGAACTCAGGACCTTGTGCTCTACCACCTGAGTTACACTTCCAGCCCTTTTTGCTTTTAGTTATTTTTCAGATGAAGTCTCTTAGTTTTGCCTGGGCCAGTTTTGGGCTGAGATCCTCATCTCTCCCAAGTAGCTGGGATTACAGGAATGTCCCATGATGCCCAGGTTGTTTTTTGAGATAGGGTCTTGCTTTTTTTTTTGGTCTGGCACCACAATCCTCCTATCTCTGCCTCCTGAGTAGTTGGGATGATTCATGGCTTTTGTTGGCATCTCAGTTCCTAATAATATGCTATCTTTATAGTCAGAAGTGGGCTGATAAAAAATTTTTCACTGACTGTGCTCTTGACCTCTGGGATCATGTTGAATTAAAAAAAAAACCCCAAAGATATTGGGGCAGAGGCATGCAGGCATGATTTGAGCTGCTTTCTTTCTCTCTCTCTGTGAAACTGGGGTTTTGAACTCAGAGCTTTTGTGTTTGCAAAGCAGGTGCACTGCCACTTGCACCACACCTCCAGTCCATTTCGATCTGGTTGCATTTTGGAGATGGGATCTCATGAAGTATTTGCCTGGACTGATCTTGAACCAGGATCCTCCCAATCTCAGCCTCCCCAATAGCCAGGATTTTAGGTGTGAGCCACTGGTGCCTGGAGCTTGCTTTCTTTCTCATGTAAATGAATGCAAGTTCATTGGAACAGCCAATGAATGTACTGATTTGCTTCTGAAAAATGTACAGATGGGGGAGATGGGAGTTTGGAGGAGATGCACAGATGGAGAAGTTCTTTTCATTTTGATTTGTCACTGAGCAGAGACCTGGAGACATTGAGGGTGTCAAGCCTCCCAGATGCAAACCCAGGGAGAAGAATGATATAAGACACATGGGAGGTGGCAGCCAGCAGAGAATGTGCTTCTGCAGGGTTCAGATACACAAGGAAGGCCATGTACCAAGGGGTGGTTAGGGAGCATCACTGGCACAAGGCTCCTATGGGACCACAGATGCGTATTCAGGGAGGGTTTAAGACCCAGTGGTGTTTCCAGATGACTGATGCAAGCTGTTCCCACCACCTACACCCTTGAAGAATGAGTCACATCCCTTATTTGATTTGCTGAGCCAAGCATTGCTCTTTGAAGACTGTGTAGGGCTTCATCAGCTGAGTGATTCTGAACTGTTGCTTTTTTTGAAATTGGTATCATTTCCCATCACTTTTGCAAAATGATAGTCTTTGTTATTGATGATGTGTAAATGTAAATATTTTAACTTCACTTTTGTGGTTCTCATTATTGAAAAATTTTGTAGTGTTTTGAGCATAAATTTATATCTACAGAGAACAACTGCTTTTCAAAGTATCTGTTGGCCTCTGTTACCTTTTTGTTAGCCAAAATAGCTTTTGCACTAAATGATCCAGTTGAAGTCCTCAGGATAAACCAATACAACTGTGTTATGACAATCCTTCTTTAATCACTAGATTGTTAAGTGTTTTAAATTTGTAGTCCTTTCAGCTGCCTGATAAAACTCCCTTAAGCTGCCTAAACTCCCTTGAATTTAGTACTTTGAAATGTGCATAGGATTTATTTTGGGTATTTTTAGAGGAGTGGGGTGGAGGCACTTGCACCTGGGTAGCCCAGCTCACTCTTTGGCTGCTGTTGACAAGCTGGTCTTGTAGTAGAAAGCCACTTGTCTCCCTCAGTGGGGGAGCCTAAGTGCACACTTCTGGACTTGCTGAGACCTGCGGTGAAAATGCTAATCCTTCTTTGACCAGAGCAGGAAGGACACAGTTTCCTTAGAGACTTGGCTGTTGGAACCCAATTCAGCCTTCCTCTGCCACCGTTTATGCCTGTGGCCTGCAGAGGACCAGCAACCTTTGTTGACTGGGGTCCTGACTTCTCCCCTTACCTCAGATAGACAGGAGACTGTTTCACCCATTCCTCTTGGGTTGGAGGTCTCCATAATGGTTCACTTACTTGATATAAAAATGAACCTACTTCCAGCATGGTGTCTTAAAACTAGAATGCAGTCCTTAGATGATTACAGCTAGTCAGGCCTTAAGGACTGTGCCTGGGAAAATATAGCTACTGCCAGACTGATGCCTAGGCAGGAAGGGGACCAGCCACCTACAACTCTCACCAGCACAGCCAAATGGCCAGCATCCACCCCAGCCCAGATGTGCACAGGGTGTCATCATTCAGCCTTAACTCTAAAAGAAAGACAAGGCCACGTCTGTCAAATATAGAGAACGCAGGAGCTGACTTAGCTTGGTTATATTCTGTACTGAACATCCCTCCTATGAACTAATTCTGTGTGCTGTGGCTAAAGAGCTTAACTGGATGCTTTGCACAATGTTGATATGAGTCCCAGTTGAGGCTGAAGTTGGCTCAGTGGCTATGGAATCACACCTTCCCACAAACCATCTCTCAGTGCTCCTGCTGGAGAGAAGTCACGTGGTAGGGTGAACCACGGCTGTGATTCAAGAGATTCATAATGGGATTGGAGGCAAGGTGGAAGAGAAGCAAACTTCTCAATATGGCACCACATAGTAATGGTGGAAGTACATTGCTGGGGTTGGTTAAGACTGATGAAAAGATGTCCGAAACTACAGTATGAAAGCGAGGCTGAGATATTCAGATTGTCTGTTGTCTTATGCGTTAGCTCCCCACTGACCAGCTTGAAGACCCACAATGTGCGCCTCTCTGGGGTTGCTACCCCTAGGGGGCAGAGCGCCAAGCTCTTGCACTTCATTTTCTTCTTTCTCTCAATATTGTTATTCTTTTCCTTCCTTTTTTTTGGAGCTATTGGGCTTTTAACACAGGGCCTTATGATTCCTAGGCATAAGTACTACCACTTGAGCCATGCCCCTAGCCCTTTTTGCTCTGGTTATTTTTGAGATAGGGTATTGTGTTTATGCCTAGGTCAGCCTGGACTGCAACCCTATTTATATTTCTGCTGTAACTGAGATGACATGTGTGTACTATCATGCCCAGCTTTGTTGGTTGAGATCTCATAAACTTTTTTGCCTGGGCTGGGCCTCGAACTTCGATCCTCTCAATTACAGATGTGAGTCACCACTGCTGACCTCAGTACTGTTACTCTTTACACTGTAACTCCAAGGAATTTGTTTTTTGAATCACAACTCCAAGACATCTTGTTTGAAGGGTAGATTCAGTTTATTAACGAACTAGAGAAAATAGCACAAAATGACTGTGAAAGGCCAAGAAAGACGAATAGGGGTTCATTCTGCCTGACTGTCCCGTGCACATTAGAATAAAGCCTCCCTTGGGGAGGCTTCCTCAGTGTAGCATCCTGTGCCATATGGAAGGTGGTGCCCCTCAGATGACGGGAGGCTGGTCCTGCAAGGGGAGCACATTGCTTCTCTGCTCCTGTGCTATGCTGGGAACTCTCCTACTCCCCCCATAGAAAGTTCCCCTCCACAGGATCATAAACCTGCTCTTCTGAGACCTAAAACCCACAACTCTTGAAAAGCATTTTTCCAATTTGAAATTATATTTTTCACACCTTTGGATTTCATTTTGTTTGAAGCAGCATGAATAGAGACAGATTGCAAGCCCAATCCACTACATTCTTATTCTTTTCTTCTATGCTGCTTAATAGTCTAGGTCTAGGTTTATCCCTTCCACATTCAGACAGAAAATATTAAGAACTTACATTAGAATTTTCAAAAGCATGAACATACATCATCTCATCGGTCTTCACAACAGCCCTGGGAGGTAGGCAGGCAGGCATCACAGTTTCAGGACACAGAGGACAGAGTGGAAATTGCTGGACTGAATCCATGTCCTCTGACTCCAGTCCAGGGCTCCGTCTACTCTGAGGTGAACTGAGCTCACCTGGATGAGCAAAGCAGCCTCTCTGCTTAGAACAGATAACTGTTCTTTGGGCTTACAAACACAGGTGACTTAAAGTACAGACCTCGTCAGACAGCTCAGGGGTAAACACATCTGAGCTCAATGTAGCATCAGTGTCAGAGGGATGAATGGGACAGGACACAGATATCTTCAACAGGGTTTCTGTTTTTTTGATTCTCACTGGACCAAGTTGGATGCTATAACTTTAAAGCAGCAAGGTTCAGGAGGGAAGCCATTCAGAGGACTTTCTCATCTAGCAATTTATTGATTCCTTCACAAATCCTCTTGAGGTTGGGCCTACAGTCTCCATCCAGACTATAGAGTGTGGAGAGGAACTCCACATCGGCAAAGTGATTGAAGACATGGTTGATGCGCCCGTGGGTCCTGGGCGTCAGGTGTCGCTGCACCAGTTCATGCACCAGGTCTTTGCACTCGTGCAGGAGCTTGGAGAGCACGTTCTTATCAAAGGTGTATTCCACCTCGTAGAAGCTGACCATGGTCATGGCTGTCTGGTTCAGCTTCTTCCGGAACTTCTCCACAATAACAACCTCCTCCTGGCTGAACTGGTTGTTCCGGTAGAGGATCCCGATTTTGATTGCCACCTTGATTAAGTCTTTCATGATCTTGTGGGCCTCCTTCTTGTTGTGGGTATGCTCTTTGGTGACTTTGTAGAGCTCATCAAAGATCTCACTGCTGGTGTCATCAATCAGCATGTTGGCCACGGTTTTGCTGGCTATTTTGCTCAGAATCTTCTTCTGGGCTTGAAGGGCAAGACTCTTTGAACTAAATACATCAGGACCTATGGTATGGAAAGAAAGAACTGTTATAGGAATATGAGAACTGTTAATTACCTTTCCACAAATAAAGCACCTTAAGTTGAACTTAACTTCTTAGCGCAAAACTCCCATCTATATCTCACAACTTCCTAACTAACCTCCACCCAGTCTGATGCTCCTACTTCCTTCTCCACATCTGTTCACCCTGTGAATCTTCTAGACAGTGCTCGCCCCTCTGTGAGATGTGGTCTCCTGTCATCCAGGCCAAATCTCACCTTTTAGACCTGCTCCATGCAGAAGGCCTTCCTCATTCAAGTAGCTCATGGAGAGCTTCCCACAATTGCTGGTACCATGGAAACCATTCAGCTTAGCAAATTATATCAGAGGTAATTATTGCATAACAACAGAAATGTATCCCCAGTATCAACCCTGTTTCTAGGGAAGACACAGATAGTTGATCATGGAAGTCTTTTTTATTGGTGGGACTGGGGTTTGAACTCAGTGCTTCATGATTGCAAAGCAGGTGCTTTACCACTTGAACCACACCTCTAGTTAATTATGCTCTGATTATTTTGGAGATGGGGTCTTGTGACCTATTTGCCCAGACTGGCCTTGAACCACAATCATCCTGATCTCAATCTCCCAAGTAGTTAGGACTGCAGGTGTTAGCCACTGGTGCCCAGCCAGTGGGTCTCAGAATCATTGAGTCTAACATGTATTTTTCACTTTATCTTGGGAATTGAGGTGTGTTTTATAGTCACAGTTGCCAACTAGCTGTTGACCTGTGGTTGTCATTATCTGTATTCACATCAATTTACACATTAAGCGTGAGAAACCTGGGAGAAAGTTAAGAGAGCTCTATTAAGAAGTGTTGCCTCACCATGCTTTTTGTTTTGTTTTGTTGTTTTGAGACAGGGTCTTTCTCTGTAGTTCAGGCTGGCCTGCCTCAGCCTCCTAAGAGCTGGGATGACAGGCATGTGCCACCACACCCATCTCACCATCTCATGGTGGCACAGAGAATGGCATTGTGTGGAAATACAGACATCAGTAACTCCAAGTCAAAAACGAATGAAGCTTAGGAAAGCCACAGCCAACTTACTGTGTTATTTTCCACTTTATGAACAAATGAAAGCATATATGTTTTTAAAACCCTACCACTGTATGTCTAAAGCCTAAAAAGTTCCTTTTAATAAACTTCAATAAAAGTATAAATAGTAAGAAGGCAAAGATTCACATTTTTTTTTCTTAAGAGCACATAAAATGGCACCTGAAAATTGAGTGTCTTAGATTTGAAGAAATACTCTACAAAGTCACCAACTCTTGGAGGTATTTGAAGTGCAACTCACAGGCCATCCCTGCTATACTGCATGTGTACATATTATCCTCATCTTCCCAAGAAGGTTCAAGTGATCTGAGGACAGAGACAGTGTCTGCTGTAGCACCTAGCTCAGTTCTGGGTTCAAGGATGGAAAATACATCTGCTGAATAAAATACCAGAAATATTGAAGAAGAATAAGAAAGAAGCAAAACATAGTGCGTACCAAACTTATGCTAAGAAAAACCAACATTCTTTTGAGAACTAGGGGTCCTTTAGAACCTCTAGAGCTTTTATTCTTGTGTTTTGTGGCCACACGGAAGTGACAGATATAACCAGAATGGATAGAGAGATGGCCATATGTACAATCTGGTTTGTTCTTGTCTGGCCCTCCCCAACTTGTATCCTATCCCATCTGCTCCTTCTGGACTCATCCCTGCACTGGGCAGTGGTTAATCAGTGAATGATCTGGCCTTGCAGACACAAGCTCAGTCAACATCCAACCCAGGAGCTCCCTCTACCCACATGCCTGTCATACACTGGCCCAGCCAGGCTCCCTCATAGTGGGACAGCTACTGCTGCCTTCAGGACCCCAACAGGCACAGCCTGGGATGAGACCACTGCAGTGGGATCAGTAAACTAAAGCAATAGGTGCCAGGAGCCTTTCACAGCCCCAGGAAATTCTCTCTCCAGAGTCTGAGACCATGGAATCTTTAGGCAACTTCACATCCAAGGCACCCTGTCATGGCCAGGGTTTTCCCTTCAGCCTTGGGTTCAAAGAGAATAAATACTTATCTTGGAGAACACTGAAGGGAATGAATGATGTCCCTGACTCTTCACCATCTTGAGAAAGCTACAATTTTTTGATTTATGCCCTTCCAGAGTTTGAGATAAATGATATTCCTGCCCAGTCTGATCAACCACCATGGTCACCAGACCTTTGTGTGAATAACCTCTGCTCCAAAACAATCAAGTTTGTCCTCCAAAGACAGATATTTACCAGCACTAGGGATGTTCAGAAGGTTGTGCTGTATGCTTTGAAGTAAATTCCACAGTTTAAAACTTTGGAATAATGTTCCTGTCACTGAAGCATGTGTGTTTCCTCAGGTGACTATTCCAAATTGAGCAATGGAATTTAAATGGATCTATATTGGAATATTAAAAATGAGTCATTGCCACTTGAGAAGAGGAAGGGGACCAGCAGGGATAAGAGGGGCAAGGAAAGATGGGGGGGGTGAATATGATCAAAGCACATTATATATGTATGAAAATGTCATAATGAAACCCATTAAAATGTACGAAAAATGAGTCATTGCTTTGTAGTTACAGCTTCTAAAAGCTGCCTGAGAATAGGTCTTTTGAAAGGTCTCTAGAAATGAAGCAAACATGTATTCACACAGAAGCAGTGGATCGCCTACATGTGTGTCCACGGGAAGGTCAGCACCATGACAGCAGGAGTTTACGCCCAGTGCTTGGGATAGTGGTGGCACATGGCAGGTGTTGGCTAAATGAAGGGAGTGCTGGCTTGGTGCCAGGCACAGCATCATTTAGCCCCATGAGATAAAGTTGGTATGTTATTGAGCTGGTCTGATTCTAAACCTGCTCTTCTCATCTGTATTTTCTCCTTTCTGCTCCAGAGCAGCGATCATCACACGTTTTGCTTGCGAATTTCCATAAAAACTCTGAAAAACTTGCATACTTTAAAACTCGGCACCAAGTGCTTTTCACTTTGAGGTTAAATAGAAATGATATAATTTCTAGGGACTGGAGGTGTGGCTCAAGTGGTAGAGTGCCTACCTAGCAAGTGCGAGGCCCTGAATTCAAATGCCATACCACCAATCAACCAGTACATACATAAACTAACAGAAATTATTTCATTTCTAGATATTGTAAATACTGACATTTTCTAATTAACCTGCTAAATCATTCTTTTAAATGTTTCCAATGCAATTGTGATATAATGTGATTACAGAAGGGTGCCACTTCTCCTGGCTCATCCATAGAACTTTAACTTCATGTAGACATGTTCTTATGCTTGAAAGTATTTGATAAACCCATAATTAATTATTTATATGCAAAGGATGCATATAAATTTAAATTTAAATTAAAAGAGGATTCTAGTGATCATAAATCTCTAAGCATTAAAAATTTTCTTTTAGGCTGAGTGCTGTGGCTCATGCCTGTAATACAAGTTACCTGAGAGGTGGAGATCTGGAGGGTTGGGGTTTGGGCCAGTCTGGGCAGAAAGTTCACAAGAGCCACTGTCAAACAACACGTGGATGTGTGGGTGCATGCCTGTCATCCCAGCTACATGGGGAGGCACACATAGCAGAATCATGATACAGGTTGGCCGGGGCATAAAGTAAGATCCCATCTTAAAAATAACCAACACAAAAAGGGCTCAAGTGGTAACATACCTGCCTGGCAAACACCAGTACTGCCAAACTTCCTGAGTTTAAACCCCAGTACTGAGAAAATTTTTTTTATCTTCTTTCTGGGCATGGTGATATGAGTATATAATTCTAGCACTCAGGAAATGGAGGCAGGAGAATTGTGAGTTCAAGGCCAGCCTGACCTACCTAGTGAGATCCTGCCTCAAAAAATAAAAAAAAAAGAGCAGGGGAAGAAGAGGAAGGAATGAAGGAGGGGGAGTGTTCCTTGGGAAAAAGAGTTCTTTGATTACATAAACTTCAAAAACACTGGATATTAAGTGAAATATTCTTTTCTGTGCAACTTTTCCATGAAACTGATGTTCAGTCAGTTACCAGAGGGGAATGAGATGTTAGGCAGAATAATGGCCCCCAAAGAGGTCCATATCCTAGTGCTTGGTACCAGTGACTATGCTACCTTACATGGCAGAAGAGATAGGATTAAAGGAAGGGTCTTGGGGTGGGGAGAGTACCTCAGACTATCCACAGGGCCGAATAATCGCAAGGGCTGTTGTAAGTGAAAGAAGGAGGCAGAAGGAAGGGGGGAAGGGAGAGAGAAAGAGAGAGAGAGAGAGAGAGAGAGAGAGAGAGAGAGAGAGAGAGAGAGAGAAAGATGTGAGGCTGGGGCAATGTGACTGCTGGCTCTGCAGATGGAGGAAGAGGTCATGATCCAAGGAATGGGGGGTGGCCTCTAGCAGCTTGCAAAGGGAAGGGAAGATATTCTTTCTCCTTACGGCCTCCAGAAAACAGGGATTGCTGTCAACACCTTAATTTTAGCCTCGTAAAGCCTATCTCAGATAGATCCCTTCACTTCCCTCCCCTTCTTTCTCGTCCCCTCCCCTCCCCTCCTTTCTCCTTCCCGTACAGTTCTGGGGATTGTTCTTGATGGTTCACCACACCAAGAAGAAGTCTGCCAGGAAAGATAGGTTGCTGGACAGACACACACACACACACACACGCACACGCACACACTGTGGTATGTATTAGGAGAAATAGTGGGAAGAACTGAAGAGAGATAAAATCAAGACAGTCTGGTCAGTAGAACACTTTTACAACTTCCAGATATCTGTGGAGGAGCAGTGGGGAAGATTCCACTGTTCCCACATGCAAACACAATGTTACCAATGACTTGTGGAACAGGGTACGCTCTGAGCGAGCAGTCCTATTCAGAAGACTTTTGCAGAGGAACCACACAATGGTGACCACTGGAAGGGACAGTGCAGTTTGAGAGGAAGAGCATGAACTAAGCTTTGAGACCCTAGGTCAGAGTGTGCTTGGA